ATTATACAGTATCATTCTCCATTACCGCTCGCAAGACTTTCTTGCATCTTCAAATTTATCACTGGATAGAAACCAGCTCCCAGCACTCCCGCCCCTCTTCTCCCCCCGCCCAAAAAAAAGGGATAAAAACAATTGCTAACCAGTTAGAAAACAAGTTTCTAATTGGTTTGACTTACAATTTCAAAATCGCTGCCAAAGCTATTATATCTTCACGACCACAGCAAAAAGATCAGTCTCAAGTCCTATAAAAAAGGCAGACCAAGTCCTTAAGTTCATTCATGACAAGTTCAATTGATCCTAACCATCAAACCGAAATAAGTCCGCCATTGCCAAAAAAAATCAAATTTTGTCTGGATAGAAGAGGAGACATCCCTGAGCCAAAGCTGCACGAACCACAATGTCAATGCTCATTAGGTCCCCAAGAAGATAAAGATGTATGTAGCCAATTATGGTTGACCTTTATCTCCCATGGCTCTTTTTCTGCTTCCACATTTCTGACTATTTTGAATCTCTTTCTTGAAAATCCCCTAAAACTCGTGAATATCCAGGATTATATACTACCATGTTTCATGTTTTTAACAGCTCTTAAACACAGTCCTTATAAACGATAAGAACAAACCCGTAAAGCGCATGATGCACAAATTTGGGCACCTTATACTAAACCATAGGAAATAGAAAGTAGCTTATTGGGGTCCCGCTTTGATTATCAACCATTTCCACAGAAAAAGAAACCACAAACTTAAGTCCATCACACACGCTAGATAATCTCAAGATTAGTTCATTGAGAGCTTCTTCAGCCTTTGCCTAAGGTAAAAAAGATAGTTTAACCTCTCTGCACTTCTAACACCAAAGCTCAACCCAACCAAAGTGCGTGTAATGTACACAAGAACACAGGCTCTAGTTCAGCTCAATTAAATTGAAATAAAGAATTATTTGCAAGTGTGGGGTAAAGACTAGTCTCATGGGAGAAATTTAATATTAAACAAATAAAAAAGGACAAAGGTTCCAGTTCAGCTGAATATCATATTGAATAGAATAAAGGTTATATATATATACGTAATCTACATCAAAAGAATATGTAGCCATTATCAAATAGTGGACAGACCTTTTCTAATACTATGTATTACCCATACACTTTGTTTAGTCGTATTTAATAACCTTGCAAAGTAATAAAAGAAATCCTTACATTCCCCAAAAAAAAGAGGGGAAAATCAGAGGCAGATCAATAATTTGAACAGTATGAGTTCGAGTTTGGAATTCTACTACAACCTATTTGACTTAATAGGTTCAAACTCTATTATTTGTACTCCCTCCGTCCTAAAATAGCTGTCACGTTTCTCTTTTCAATAGTCAATTTGATTAATCTTTGGAGCTACATTACATTAGATCAATTCAATATTTTAAAATTCAAATATTCAAGAATTACCCGAAAAAACACTCTAAGTTGCAATGCTTATCATATCAATATGATGATAAAATATATTTTAAAGTGTTGGTCAAAGTTCAAGTAGTTTGACTCTCGAAATGTGAAATGTGACAAGTATTTTGGGACAGAGGGAGTACTTATTTAGTGGATTTTTTACCACATATACAGGGTCCGAGCCAAATCTATTTGGTTGGGATAATCCCCCAAGTCCTTAACTACATCTGAGGAAAAAAAAACTAAATACAACAACAAAGAACAACTACGAAACACAAAAAAGATAGTGGTAATAAAGCAAAAAGCACAAAAAAGCTCTAAAGTCCTTTGGAGCTTTAAACACAAACCGCAAATAAAATGTGGACTTTAAATGAAAAAAGGCGCAAATGGGAAAAATATACAAATGTGTTTGTGTAGTCCAACATTAACAATCATAAGCATGAATAACAAATATATAAACGAAAAAATCAAACAAAAATAAAGTGAAATATCAATTTTTTAATAGTCGCAACTTCAAAATTATGCTCATTCGCAAGGAGAAGTATGTCTTAGAACCTTCACGATAAGCTAGCCAAAGCACTCAACATGTTTTGTGCCTCACTTCAATGCTTAAACGCGCAACATCAAGGACCAGAAACATAGACAAAATTGAGCTTAAACAAATAAAAATGCGCAAACTTTTCAAAATCAATTCCATATGGAATAATCGAACACAATGAAGATCATAAAAATTTAACTATATATCAAAAGAATGAGAAAACTTTTCCAATTACACATTTTTATGCAAATTCAACAACTTTGCCAGTAAAACAGAGAACTTTAAATCCAATTTGAATTTTCCAGCCTAAAAAAGACAAACCCAGAAACTACAACTCATCAAAAACCCTAATTTACGATCATAAATCATACAATCAATCCAAAAACATCACAAAATGAAGAATTAAGAGCAAACCCAGAAAAAAAAAGGAGAAAAAAAACACCTGAAGACCAGCACGAGAAGAACGAGAAGTGGGTTTCTTCTTCTCCTTTTCTTTATCCTTATTAGCCGCTGTTTTCCCCATAATCAAACCCTTAGCTCCTTTTCCCGACATTTTTTCCGGTCGAAATTGGGTGATTTTCCGATTCAATTTTTTTTTTTTGATCGAAAAAAATTCAGCACAGTCGAGAGAGATGAGAGTGTATAGTATTATATAAATATATAAATAAAATGTGATTGGGACTGAGCTGGAAGGGGGTGGGGGCGCAATCTAATGGAAGATTTTTTGACCATTTTACCCTTGAGTTGTGAGTGAAATTACTTTTGAGAAGCATGTGGTTTACTAGATTGAGAAGGGTAAAAGAGTAAATTACACCTGGAAACTCCAAGTTTGTAACTTCTCTTTTATTTTTATTATATTTTACTATGTCTTTCCTATGTCATTCATCGAATAAGACTACGTTGCCTAGTTGATTTTTGCTGGACTTTTGGGGTGAGGGCTGCTTTCTTTTTTGCCTGTATCGAGGGTACATGTATGCAATCGTAGTATATCTTCTTTATGGTTAGAAGTTTCGAATTGTTCGCTCATTAACTTAGTACATGAGTTGGGTTCAGAATATTGTGAGACAGCTCGATTCATTTTCTGTGTGCACACTAGCTAGAACGTTGAGAGGATCGGGAAGAACACGTTTCTGGTGTACCAATTATCGCTCCTGGTAAATATTAAATAGTCAAGTACGAAGTAGATAATTATTGTAGTCTATTTTCTTTTGAAACATTTAAAATAAATGAAAATACAAAATATGGCAAAAGTAAATATAACAAAAATTGGTGTGATTCCAGGAATGGGGTTTGAGGATGATAAGAGTGTAATCACATTTTATTTCTATTTTATATAAGGTAGTGAAGTTGTTTCGGATAGACCCACAATTTTTCTAAAAAAAACATTTGAAAATACAAGAGCAGAAGAAGCTCGAATATTAATATACTAAGAAAAAGAATATTGACAAAAAAAATTAGTAAGATAACCAAACTAAAAGAATTAATCGTAGGAGAATCTCAGCAACTCAATTGATTGGTTATCTGAAAATTCAACTTGTTCATAAAGGTTCGATTCCCCAACTTCTAATTCTCTCCACATTTCTCCTTCTCTTACTGATAATAATAATAATAATGGAAAGGAGCAAAGGGAGTTAATAAGGTACTCCAAGACAGGACCACGTTCTCCTCGAGAAAGAAAGGAATCGCTCGACTATCTATTAATTTTTTATCCTAATTCTTGATATTTATGTTCTCCTATCTAGAATCACATTTACGATAAACTGAAGATATATTATATATTGTTGAATCACAACTTCTCAAATTCTTTTTCAATAACTAAAACTCAATGAGTATACATCATCTCTCATAGTCATAGAGAATAATATACTTTAAAGTAAAAACTTATTACTATCGAGTAATTAGATTCAATCAATATTTATATAATAATATATATTTGCACATGTACTTTTTTGACTTGACCATGATTAATTAATATATGTTGTCATTTTATGAATACTTTATTAATTGACCACCTAGATTTAGTTCATTTTATATTGATAATGCAAGGATTATTTACACTATAATTAAATATATATTTAATTATTTACACTATATATATATATATATATATATATATATATATATATATATATAAATAATCAAATTCTAGTAAAAAGAACACGTTAACTAGTCAACACCAGCTGCAACCTAAAATATTCAAGACTTGGAAAAAGTATATACTACCATTTAGTCAACTTGGTCCCCAAACCACTTTGTACGTAATAGAACTATACCCAATCAAGTTTATAGAGTTTTAAAATTTAAAATATATATATGTAAAATTATAAGTATTTATCACTCCGTCATAATCATGTAATATAAATCAATCGTTGAATATATAATGGAAGATGGCACACTCAAAGGTGTGGCATAGTTGTCAATGAATTAAGAACGTTCTTATATTCAAATTCCAGTAAAAACAAAAATATTACTAGATGATTTTTTCCCTATTTGTTGGTTCACAGGGTTATCTGATACTCGTTGTTGGTGGGAGGTAGCAAGTATCTCGTGAAATTAGTTGAAGTGCGTAAAAACTAAACCAGAGTAACTACATGGTACCTTGGAAGGTAGCAAGTTTGTCGTGAAATTAGTCAAGGTGCGCGCAAGATGACCTAGAGGTATAGCAAGTATCCTGTCAAATTAGTCGAGGTGCACGCAAGCTAATCTAGAATTACCTAGTACTTATTGTTTGTGTGAGGTAGAAAGTATAGCATGAAATTAGTCGAGGTGCATGTAATCTAACTTAGAGTTACTTGATACTTGTTATTGTTGGGAGGTATATAATATCCCATAAAATTAGCTAGTTGCGGTACGCAGACACTACAATTACCGAAAAGAAAAAATGGAAGCTAGCTAAGACCATCAAAAAAGGAAGAAAATTCCAATAATCTTCCTAATCAATCGAAAATGTTCTGCTTGCCAATTTTGACTAGGTCAACTTTTCAACAGTTTAACAACAAAATGAATAACTTTGTTAGAACATAGTTCAAATATCTATACAAAAAAATTTCATACTAGAACAATAGTTCTTTAATGGCATGCCTAAAAATCCTACTATTTTTCCTCTTCATGAACATTTCTTTTGCCCAAAAAGACACAATTTTTCAAGGCCAACACCTTAGAGTTGGAGAAAAATTGGAATCAGCAAACAAGGAATTCAGACTTGAGTTTTTTAGCCTTGATGCCAATAAAACACATTATATTGGCATATTCTACAATTTACCTTCTAACATGACCTTATTCCCCGGTGATGATCGCCCCGTTTGGGTTGCAAATCGCGATAATCCGATACAATATGCATCAGGTAACACTCTCACATTGGATGATGGTGGAAATTTGAAAATTTTCTATAGAGGGGATAGTTTTATTATGTTAAGTTCTTATAATGTAACATCAAGAAATGCAAGTGCTACACTATTTGACAATGGGAATTTTGTGTTGGTGGAATTGAATACTAATGGTTCAGAGAATAAAACATTGTGGCAAAGTTTTGATTATCCTACTGATACACTATTACCTGGGATGAAACTTGGGAGAAATGTTAAAACAGGACAGATATGGTCACTGACTTCTTGGATAAGCAAAGATGTACCTGCCTCGGGGTCTTTTACGATTGGTATAGACACGAATGACATTGACCAATTGATAATATGGTGGATGGAAAGTGTGTTTTGGATGAGTGGACGCTGGGGAAATGAGACGTTTGTCAATGTACCGCGAGTATCACACTATGAGTATGTTAACTTGAATTTTGTTTCGACAGAGGATGAGAAGTATGTGACTTATTCGGTCAGTGAGACTCGAACTTTGTCTAGATATGTAATGGATACATTTGGTTTTATTAAGGAAAGAGGAGCAGCAGGACCTTTTGGGGTGTGTTTTTACAAGCCTAGTGCTGGTTGTGTTGTGACAGAAGAATCGATTGGGTGCTCGATCAGAAACGATTCGTGGTTCAAGAGGAGTCCAAATAGTGTCTCTGGTAATAGATTTAGGTTTGCAAACAACAACATGAGTTTATTTGATTGCAAGAGACAGTGTGAGAAAAACTGTTCTTGTGCTGCTTTTGCCACTGTCACAGCTACTAGAACTGGTTGTGATATTTGGAGTAACGTATCGATTTTGAATTCAGTTGAATCAGATGTTTTCATTCTTGCTGATGAAAGAGGTATATTCATATTTACCTCATTGTCTTTTTTATGTTGTTGTCGTGTGACCAGGAGGTCGCGGGCTCCAGCCTCTTGCAGATATGCAGGGTAAGGCTGCGTACAATAGACTCTTGTGGTCCAAGGAAGTGCATTGTTTCTATGTCTAGCAAGTAACTAGAGTTAGTAAAGCGGACTCTAACGATGAATTGTGCAATGTGTATTCATAGATTTGGTGCCAATAAGAAATCGGAACAGCACAGATGTACCAAGCACAGTCTCACTTCCTCCAGATTTAGCACCAGAACCATCTCCTAATTCAACGTCAGGATCGTCTAAAGGAACTTGTATGTATTGTGCCTAAATCTTTCTCTTGAACTGTTGTATATGATTGAAGGTGAAAACCTTTTTTTGATTGTTTCCTCAATATAGTTCATTTAAGAAAGAACTATACGTTTTAGGCACGTATTCTTTTGTAGTATCATCATTACACAATCTAGTCCTTGTTTCGAGTATATCCAGAAAAAGATCATTTACATCATCTGTATTGATGTTGTTACTGCTCCTTTCCTGAATGTTCTACACTGTTTTCCTTTTTACTTGTCATGTTTTCTGCACTGTCGTTTTTCTCCGTTTCCATAACTACTATGATTTGTTGCTCTTGAGCCAAGGGTCCTTCAAAAACAGACTCTCTACCTTCACATGGTAGGGGTAAGGTCTGTGTATACTCTACCCTCTCCAGACTCCACTTGTGGAATTTCACTCGTTATGTTGTTTTGTTGTTGATGCAGCAAGAAAATGGTGGGTATGGCTTATAGCTGCAAGCGGTTTGACACCATTCGTAGGATTTTTCGCCCTATGCTACTTTCTACACGGAAAAGGTGAGCGCTCGAAGAATTTATCTAGAAGCTTGCACCAGTAAAACTCAACTATGTTGCTCGGACTCTGGTAAAATGCTGCCACAGTACTCTTGTCAGATCCTCAAAAAAAAAAACGCACTACTTTTGAAGGATCTGACACACACCAAACAGCATTTTTTAAAAGTCCGAGCAATATAGAAATGCTCTATACTATGGGTTCTGATCCCACAACTTCCTCTTTCACTATCAGGGAAAGCAAAAGCAACAGCTTTGCTATTGCTTAATCAAACAGCAAATATATCTAAAAAGAGAAAAATAGACAAGAAAATGAGCCATGAAGTGCAGTTATACAGCCTCGAGAGCCTAGCAATCGCCACAGACAATTTTTCACCAGGAAATAAGCTCGGGGAAGGTGGATTCGGACCAGTATACAAGGTAAACATGAAACCTTTTATATGAATATGATTCGCGTAAGCTTAAATACTTAAACGAGTCATTATTTTTCAGGGAGAAATGCCTGATGGGCAAGAAGTAGCTATAAAAAGACTTTCGACTAGTTCAGGACAAGGCCTATTGGAATTCAAGAATGAAATTCTATTGATTGCAAAACTTCAACATACTAACCTTGTTAGGCTTCTAGGATACTGTACTCAACGCGAAGAACGGATTATAGTTTATGATTACATGCACAACAAAAGCCTAGACTTCTTCCTCTTTGGTAAATATCATGTTTTTCATCTTCAACAATTAGAACAACTTTGTCAAGAAATTTCATTTTTTACAATGATATGAACAGATATTAACAAAAAGGAGCTACTAAATTGGGACACACGATTCAGAATCATCGAAGGGATTGCTCAGGGTATACTGTATCTGCATAAATATTCAAGGTTGAAAGTGATTCATAGAGATTTAAAAGCAAGCAACATCTTACTTGACGCGGAAATGAATCCAAAGATATCAGACTTTGGCATGGCGAGGATATTTGGAACACAAGAATCTGAAGCAAACACGAAAAGAATTGTTGGAACACAGTAAGTAAATAAGCAATGTTTTCATATACAAGTTTTTATATAATATTACTTGAAGTTCTGAATACATTTTTCGGATACTACTTCAGTGGCTATATGTCTCCAGAGTATGCCTTGAGAGGCATTGTTTCAACGAAAACGGATGTATTCAGCTTTGGAGTTTTACTGTTAGAAATTGTTAGTGGCAAGAAAAACAACAGCTGCTATGATTCCGAACATCCATTAAACCTTATAGGACTGGTAAGTTTCTAGACTAAATTATGAACATATCTCTCGAAATGTAGAAACATATAACTATTAGTACTATGTTTTTAGGCATGGGAATTGTGGAGAGAAGAGAGAGCTTTGGAGCTAATAGATGCAACACTAATTGAATCATGCTCGCGCGATGAAGTAATGAGATGCATTCATGTGGGACTCCTTTGTGTGCAAGATTATGCAAAAGATAGGCCTTCAATGTCAAATGTTGTTTCAATGCTTATGAATGATACAAAACAACCACCACCACCACCAGAACGACCAGGGTTTTTCATCGAGAGAGGGGATCAACATGCAGAGATCTCCGAAGAAGTAGTCAGATACTCGATAAACGGGCTATCAATATCAGAGTTGAGAGCAAGATAAGACAAGATGGTCAACTGGGAAGTAACTTATTTAACATTCTTTTGATGAAGTGTAAAAAGTTACCAACTTCAAGTACATACTTATAGGACTAATTTCGAGTCCTGTTTCTTTGATACTATTACATTATGATGCATTTTGTGAGTAGAATATTTGAGACGGATCCAGAATTTAAGTCAAAGATGGTAAATGAGATAAGGCAAGGCGAAGTTATGGCAATGGAGACTTCACCATTACCTTCCCCCTCCCGCCTGATAGCAACGTCACCAGTTACATTTAAAATGTTAGAGAATACACTTGACACTCATTGATTATATAAGTCGAAAGAGAATATGAGAGGAGTTTCTGAACTATCAATAGTTGTATATTAGACAAAAGAGGTAACTGAATGTACATATATTTTCTCATTCTGAGCTTTACATGATCCACAAATGGGCTGTGAATTAGTTTACACTCAATTCACTACAAAAATAAAGAACAATTTTGGTTTTCACCTAAACTCACTACAATTCTGATGATTTAGCTTCATCAATATTGTTATCTTTATCGCTAACAAAAACTAAACGATCACCATCTCTGATCAACTCAATTTCGTCGATTTCAGCTCCATCTTTGCTTACAACTTTGGCTTGAGAGATACCATATCTACTAGAACCAAGTTGAAGTAGCTCTTTAAAACTCTGTGGGAGTAAAATGAGTTTTCCCCCGTTGTCTCCTTTCTCAGGGCAACACACTGTCACTCGGGGAGCATAAGTCTTGATTGTCGTGACACTTACATTACTGTCGTTTGTAGATAAAAGCACGTCGTGCTCATTGGTCTGCTTTGCTGACATTATCCCGAATAATGAGTTGTGGAAGTTATTAGACCTACGTCTAGGACGTGAACGCCCTAATGATCCGTCTAGTCCTAGAAATGAGACTCCATGGGATGCAGGGGTGATTGTTGGCTCACTTTTGAACCTCCCAAGAAATCTAACCCCTCGTTCCTCGGGGATAGGATCAACGGATCGAGTTCTCATCATTACCCTGGATTCGAAGAGTTCTTTGATGTCTTCATGTCCTTGTTGCTCAGCAAGGTCCCGGGGGGTCCAATTATTTTCGTCTGGTTGATCAGCGTTAGCCCCTCGATCCAAGAGGTACTTTACTATTTCTATGTTATCTTCACAAACAGCAACATGGAGAGCTGATGAACCGTTGATCTTGGGAAGCGTGACATCCCCGCCATGACGGACAATCTCCTTGAGCAAATTCAAGTTGTTTTGTTCAACAGCAACGCAGGCGAAATGTCCCACATCACCAGCTGATAGTTTAGCACCGTTGTCAACGAGCAACTGGATAACTGACTCGTGCTTCCCCATGATAGCCTCCCACAATGGCACATTGCCTTCTGAATCTGTGTATACACAAGAAACAAAATCAAATTCTTATATCTGGCTGTGTCGGTGGACATGATAGGAAAAGGAGACAACTGATAGAGTGTGAAACTCGCAAAAAAAACTATAGTTGAGGTGTGCTTTTGACTATAAACTCTCTAATGTTTGGACAAAAACAAACTTTTGGCAATAACAGAATTTGAAAAAAGAAATGGAGCATACCTCTACTATTGGGATCAGCCCCAAAATCGAGCAGAAGAACCACACAGTTCTCAATGCCTTTAGACGCAGCGATATGCTGATAAGAGAAAAAACAGGGGGAAATGAGAAATGTAGTTACATAGAATCCAAGCTTATGGTAACAGATGATCGTAAGGGAACTAACCAATGCGGATCTTCCATTGTTATCTGATTCATTTGGATCAAGACCGCGTTTCAACAAGTGATGCAACAATAAGTCATCACTTCTAAGTGTTGCAAAGCAAAGGGTGAGAGGCAAGTCCATTCTACCGCGCGCTAGCATATGCTCGGTCTCAAGTAGAACACCCTCCATAATTGGATTCTTCATATCCTTCAAATGCTGCTCAGCGAAAAGAGAAAAACATAACAGCCATGTTTAGTCAAAGCATTTTATTTGAAATCATCCAAATTAGGAAACGTTTGAGGCGTTCATACCTGAAGGAGATTATTCATGATTATTGTCCCGTCCCCAACATTGGCCTGGACGATATTCAGAAATGTGGTACGATTCATACGTAGTAGCTGGCACAGTCTCTTCGTTCGTACTGTAAATAGTTGAGGCCTATAACAAAGAACCCCGATTTCACCACAAAGATCACCAGCCCTGACCTCCCCGACAACCTGAAATATCCATTTTGGTATCAGCTCACAACTTGTGATTTCGGAAAAGATATATATGTGCTTAGTCAAAAAGAATCAAGTGAACGCATTGAAATTATGAAGGTTTTGGCACATGATAGATGAAACTTGCCTGTTCAACTCCGTTTTTAAGCACCACTAGATCCTGTCAGATAGGTTCAACATTAGACTCGTTAATGCAAGTAAAATACCACGATACATGAAAATTTCCGCGTTCAGATAACAAAAAAGAGGTTTAAAATTACCACAGCTCCTGTTACAAGAATATAGAAGTCTGTTGGTGCTTCATTCTGCAAAATGACATCCTCTTTGGGAGGAAAGTACTCTGCCTTCATCTCGGAGACCTTGAATCACGAAGAAAATGTCAAATATTAAAGAATAACATGCTTAAAAGATTTAGGACAGCGATTAAATATCTGGTTCATGAAGTTACCAGCTGGAAGAGTAGATCGTTTGACACTCCACGAAACAGATAAACCTTATCTACTAAAGAGTAGAAAAGAAAATGTGAAACACTTGAACGGATGGCTTTAGGAAGAGACTCGAGTGTCTCTTGCTGCTGCAGCCCTTCTGAGTCTGTTCTGAACTTCAAGCACAAGTGTGCAAGCATCTGATCTTGGAGTCGAGCGGGCAATTGGTTCCTCTGTGCAAAGCTCGAAGCAGCTTGAATTGTATCTCTCTGATGCAGCAATTTGGACAGATGCATTTTAGAAACTATACAAAATTATAGAATTACTGATAAAACAATCAAACAATAAGATAACTTTTACTCACAAATTTTCTAGTCCTACTCGTCCCGTGTACAACCAAGTTAGTCATATTTCCTATTAAGTATGCTGTCAATCCCAAGTTAAAGAGCATGTAGAAGATATCAAAGATCATTTCCCGTGTATTCTCTGGATGCAGATCACCATAACCGACTGTAGTGAGTGTTGTTATCGACCAATAAATAGAAGTGATATAACGAATCCATAAGCTCTGATTAAGGAAGTCATCCATAGAGGCCCCAATCCATGTCTTCTTTGGATCAGGATAATGGGCCGCGATAAGATAATAAAAGCATCCGGCACAATGAACAGCAAAAAGAGTGACCTATAGAGAAGAACCAACACATTGATTAGAACAACATTGATTCAACGCTTAATCAAAGGAGGGAGAAATGTACTTACACAAACAAGCTTTGCACATCGAACCCAAAAGTAATTGAAGTTCCTATCTTTCTCCAATCTGTTTCAAACAAAAAAAAAAGGCATCTCTATAACAATCGTCCTATATAACAATATTTCACTATAACAGCTAAGTTTTCTTTGGAATCGACTTTCATGTTTATGTTCTCTATATCAACATTTCACAATAACAACCAAAAAATTATCTGGACAAACAACGTTGTTATAGAGAGGTCTGACTGTAGTACCTGGCAAACAATGCACTAACTCTTCTTAGACGCCACAAACGAAGCATATTGAATAATCCATACTGACGTAAAGGTTTTGGGGAAAACTTCACAGCAAGTTCTGAAGGGATTGTTGATATGACATCAAATAAGAACCAAGTACTCATATACTTCCAAGCGATCTTTTTGTGTTCATCGATAAGAAGATAAGTGGCTCTATCCAAGAAAGCTACAAAGAAGGTAAGAATGATATCAATCGCGAAGAATCCATTGACTACATTGTCCGTCTTAGCGAGTGGTCCTTCTGGTTTTCCTAGAAAGCCAAACTCGAACGGGGACACCCAAGCAGTGTAAACAACCAGCACAACTAGAAATGTCTCCCATAACCTACAAACATTATATCAACCTGAGCTGATTATAGCAAAAATCCATGATCATTTCAATGCATCAAATATCTACTAAACGACGAACAGGATTAATAAGCAATCAAAATCTCAAAAGAAAAAAGAACAATGACTCATGATTAAGTGCAACATGATATACTTGTTAGCACATTATAGAAAGTTGTAGCAACTAGCAAGTACAAGTAACTTGGCAAACGAAAACATTAGTAGTTGATTCCACTGCTCGAACCTGTGACCTAAGACAATTTTATTGTTGCTCCAAGGCTCCCCTACTGGCAAACTAAAACAATGTTGCCAAAAATTTAGAATAGTAATTGCCAATTTGTGATGTCTTAGACAATGTCAAATGATTGAAATCACCAAATATGTTAAAACATACAAGTTACTAGGCTCATCTCATACCACTATGGTCCCATTAAACTATCTTGCTCAGATTCTTCAAAAATGTTCCGTATTGGACTTTTGAAGAATCCTACATGCACCACTCGACACTTTTGAAAAGTGTGAGCAATAGAGTGAATAAAATAAAAGGCTTGTAAGGGACTGGCTTAGTGATACATAAAGTAGGATGAAAATCGTGGGAGATTAGAATTCAAATTCCAACAGTCAACAAACTAAAACCGACCTTTGCCACCAATTTTTTATTTGTGTTGTTGGAAAATAACATATGTCAATAAAATAATCGAGATACGCATAAATTGGTTCAAGAAAAAAAAAAAGCAATAAAAGAAAAAGGGTTTTATTTTGTGTCAAAAGAGGCAACTGGAGTAGGGGTAGAAAAGACAAAAATACTACAGTTGAAAAGATGATTTTTGTTTATTCTGCAGAAAAGGGGGGCCAGTCAAAAGAATGATATTTTGTTCCCCACCCACCAGGAAAAGAAAAAAGAACAACTCAATAACTAGTATCGAGTATAATTCTATATATAAGTGAGGTTCGAAAAAAATATAATTT